CAGTCTAGACAAATGATAATTCACATAAACTGATTGGCTCAGTCTAGACGTGATAAAACACATAAACTTACTTATCCTTATCGTACCGTGCTCTCAAAAGTAAAAAGAAGATGAAAAAAAAATCACATCGTTAGAACAGTGTGGTTTTGACAGGTGTTTTTTCATGGATTATCTGAAGGTTGAGATGAGAGTTGGTGCCAGTGTTAGGGTTAAGGTTAATGATTATAATCAGGGTTTTGGTTAGAATCAGGGAAAGTGAGAACCCATGGTTGAGGATGAATGGGAAATTTGGGGTCAGTTAACACTATCAGGTACGCAACATTGTTTTGATAATCAGTAATTGAAGTAAATATGACTCAGGTAGTGATTGGAATGATCAGGTAATGAGAGCTACATCAAACATCATCAGTAGAAAGATATATGATGTAGATGGATCTACTAACGTCATTCAGTGGGTGTTATATCTTAGGTCCTACCTCCTTGGGAGGGAGGGTTCAGGGGTGTAATCAGTGTGCCGAGTCAGGCACCGTGGCACAACCTGAATAAACTTTCGAAGTCTGAGTGAGATCCGAACTCCAAAATATACGTCGTAAGTAGTAGTTAACTCCATTGCTCGAAATCACTAAGGTTTTAATTGGTGATAGTCAAATTAGTTATTAAACTGAAACGATGAACAGTTCGATGAAAAACTTAAGAACGGGAATATTATTTAAGGGAAAACGTGTTGGATGATCGTAAAAAGTATCGGATACACAGAAAAATAAGTTGGGTGTATGTAAAATATTTTGAAATACAGAATTGTTATAGACATATACAAACATTAATTAAACAATGCTTTGATTAAACTATAGTAGAATTACCCATGACACAGCTTTAGTAAAAAACAAACAACAATTTTTTTGAAATTACACAAGTTTTGGATTCACACTTTGTGACAAAACTAAATTTTGGAGGTTATCTCTTGTAGAAAGTTTTGTGATTAGACAAAATTTGTGTGGTTTTACTCAATTTTTGCGGTGTTACTAAAGTTTGGGATTCACACAAGTTTAGTAACACCGCAAAAATTGAGTAAAACCACACAAATTTCGTCTAATCACAAAACTTTCGAGAAGAGATAACCTCCAAAATTTAGTTTTGTCACAACGTTCTGAAAGAAAACCACTCAACACAAGTGTCAAAAGGACCTGTGTTGAAACTTGTCTGGGCCACTTCCGTTAAAACGTCATTACAGAAAACATCACTTCCTGTCGAATCGTCTTCACAAACAATTCTTACAAAAAAAAAAAGCAAAAAAAAAAATGTTTTTCACTTTCCCCACACTTGAAGAAAAGTCCATTTGGGGATAAATTCCGAGTCTGTTAGCGGTAGCTCTAAGCTAATGGCATTATTCTTGAACCGAAATGAGGTTTCTGCCATCTGTAGCCCGCGACTCGTACAAACGCTAACTCGAAGCTTTTAAGAACCAAACGTCCAATTTATTTTTCTGGCCACCCTTTGATGAAAATAGGTCATCGAAAAGGGAGAGAATAAATGGGGGGAAAAAATATCATGGAAGGTTACTCTTGATTACAAAACTAGTGGCGAAAGTGGGTCAGAGAGTGTGAAAATCGATATAATATTCGTATAATTGGTTCGGACTTAATGAGCTGATTGTTTAACTAACTGCTTCAATCGCTGAGTGTCAATATTCTCTAACAGTGTCTTTCTAGACGGAGTCGTAGCAATATAATGTTTTTAAAAATTGATTAATAAATGTATATATATATATATATATATATATATATATATATGTATATATATATATACATATATATATATAATATAATATATATACATATATATATATATATATATATATACATATATATATATATATATATATATATACATATATATATATATATATATATATATATATTATATAATATATATATATATATATATATAATATATATATATATATATATATATATATTATATACATACATATATATATACATACATATATATATATATATACACACACACATATATATATATATATATACATATATATATATATATATATATATATATATATATATATATATATATATATATATATATATATATATATATATATATATATATATATGTGTGTATATATATATATATATATATATATATATATATATATATATACATTTGTGTATATACATTTAAATATATATGTGTGCGGGTGTATAGCAGTGTGTATTATATAACGCGATAAAATTTCCGGGTATGACAATGCTGGACTGACCACATCAATGCTTGTAGTGCCAGCCACTACCAGCCACCAATCAGCCACTACCAGCCACCAATCAGCCACTACCAGCCACCAATCAGCCACTACCAGCCACCAATCAGCCACTACCAGCCACTACCAGCCACTACCAGACACAACCAGCAACCAACCAAACACTGGACAAAAGCTAACCTTACCCTATCCTGTCCAAACACACACAACACTATTCCCTCTCAACAAACACCTATAGAAAACTAGTCCCCCTCTCTAAACATCTCATCCTCTGGCCACTTTCTTAATTTCCTTTTTTCCTAATCAAAGTGATCTCCCTTCCCTGAAACAGGGTCGAGTTAGTGCCCTTGGTGATAAGCCTCC